ACTATTTTTCTTACATGTTTGCCTTGTGTACTATATACATAGCTCATTGGATAACAGTTTGGGATTGTTACTAGGAAATTTATATTACTTTCTAAACATTTTCACAAATGCAACATGACTATTTTTGAGATTTGTTTTAGGAATCGTATATTTTTAAGTATGTTTTTTTTATATTTAGTTATATAACACGTATCTACATCAATATAAACTAGTACTAATATTTTTTGCATTTTCTGTTACACATTTTAAAACCCCTTAAACTGGTTGTTGGATATAAAGGACTGACCCAGCCTAGGCACGAATCTAAGAAGATTTTTTTTTATTATTATAATTATTATTATTGATATTTAAATTAAGTCTTCTTACACACCATGTATAAAATTAATTACCTTTCCATGATATTGTATTTAATACAAAAATATTTTAAATGAATTATGTCTATATAATTTTAGAAATAGTCTCTATGTATTGTATTTTATATATATATATTATATATAAATAAATAATAATATATAAATTATACTACTTGGTCAACATACTATTGTATTGTACAAATTTATTATTATTTTTTTGTTAGCAGTAGTAATTAGATAATGATAATCACAAATATATGGACCATATGTCCTTGGTTCAAAAACCAGATTTTCATGCACATGTATAGTAGAATACCAATTTACGAATAAATATATTTATGTACAATACCTTTTTAATTATTCACTTCCTATCATTACCAATTTACATTCACTTCCTCACAATACCATATCCTTAAAATTACTGTACTTCGTACATTACTGTTATGCATCATTTATGTCAAATTACATATTTAGTAACAAACCATGTCCCCAATGAAAAATGTACTTTAAATAATGTAATTTCAAATAGCCCTGTCACTTCCGCCCCCATTTCAATGATTACTGGCCTTTCGTACGCTATTGCTGGCGGCTCGAATAGGTGCTGCATCTTTCTCATTCCGTGTTTTCGTTGTGGAGATTCGAATTCTTCCCCTCCACAAATAGGGCTTTGTCGTTTAAACATTGACTCGCTCTAAATCTCCTGTTATAAACAATATAGATATGGCCCGAACTTAGTATTCCCATAGAGAGTAAAGCAGGCAGTCAAGCTCGCGGACACTGCGTGCCTAAAAAATGATGCGAGATTATAAAACTAAGAGTGTTTGCAAATTCTCTGTGGAGAGAATGGCCACTGAATACCTATCCCATTGATAGTCTTTGGAGAAAGTACATACATTATATTCACAAATTATATATTAATCCATTTCTCTTTCAGACAAGAAATGGTTCATTAAAATAGAAATAACACATCAATTCTGATTTCAAAATCTCCATTAGCATAAAATTGTAAAAAACGTAATCAAAAAATCTTGATTTTCTCATACGTTCACTTAGGATATAAAAAAGCATAAACTTTTACGTTAGGCTAGAAGGTTTAACCAAAAAATTCTTGTCTATTAAAAGCCTGTCCGTCCTAAGCGAGAATTGTTACTAATAGAACTTGTCAATTATTCACATTATTGGCTAAAAACAAAATAATCTGCTATTTAATAACAAACACAAAACAAAAAGAAGGAAAATCCGCCATCAAACACATTCTGCATAGCAAGGAAAAAACAAAAGCGTATATGAGAATTAGCAGACAATAAACAGCACATATAATATAAAGTAAAATAAAACGTAATACAAGTCAAGGAGCCCGACTCCCCAGCATAAAGCAGCTCATTCTGCTTGAAAGTATAAGCATGCCTTGGGTTTTAATGTAGAACTCGTTAAAACGAACCATGGCGACTATATAATATAAATATATATATATATATATAGATATATATATAATATAAATAAGAATGAAAACCATCAAATCTTATTTCTATTGCATACAATTTGTCAGTTTGTTACATTTACATACATACATTATTAGAATCAAAAAGTATGACCCAGGTGGCAGCTAAAGGTGACAAAATTTCAAAAATTACAACAACTTACATAATACATAATATGACAATAATAATAATAATAAATAATAATTAATAATAATAAAATACGTACAAACATACAAACGAAAAGCAGACATGAAAAGTGCACTATCACGTCACCGCACTTCACTTCACTTATACACACTTCGTAAAGATAAGGTCACCAGGCTCGATTCTGAATTTATTATAATTGATTAATAAACTTCTATCAATTAGTTTTCACGCCGCTTTTTAATTGGGACAAACGTTATGAGAGGTCTATTCAGTTTCTTGAATCGGAAGCCCCGGAAGGGCTAGATACGCTACTGCGTGTGAAGCATTCGTACCTAACGTCATCAAGCCTAAGGCGTGCATCACAAGTACGACATACTTTAACGATAGATCACATTCTTCGAACGAAAACGAATTCTCTCCCAATACATCAATAAGAAACTAGTTCATAATGTCTTGTGCTCTCATTATGTAACAATTTAACCAATTTACGAGTTGTGTTCCAGTGTTTCCGCCTCAAATATCAAAAGCAAAAAAAGTTAATGAGGTTTATAACTTTGATAAATCTTCATGAACTCGTAACAGTTACTTGGACAAACGTTTTAGGAGCTGTCCAAATCAGTTTTGGAATCGAGCCCCGGAAGGCTAGACTTACGCTACTGCAGCTGAACATCGTAGCTCTAAGTCGTAACCTATGCGTCTAACAATAACGACAAGACTTTTCAACGATAAGTTCACAAGTTTCCAAACGAAAACGATCTCTCATCAATCACATCAATGAAGAAACTATGTTCATATTTGTACTTGCTGCTTCATCCATTGTAACAATTGTGAAGACCAATTTACGAGTTGTCTCGTGCAGATATCCGTGTTCAAATATCAAAAGCAACAATTTAATGAGGTTCATAACTTTGATAAATCTTGATGATCTCGAAACATGAGTATTACCCACGTACATTTTTATAATGCCTTTTTTCTGAAAGTTTGAATTATTTTAATAACAATTTGAAATGTGCCATTGATTGTTAAATCGCTGTGATAACCCTTCCGTAATATCCAATAGCGGTCCTCAATTCGCGCCTACACGAAAAGAAACACATTAACCGTCCTATCTAATAACGATTAGTTGTAATGAAAATTGGTTTTCGTCACAAACTGCCATTAAACTCAGCCGCTACCGCATAAATCACGTGCAAATCCATGTGGTTAGGTAAAAACGAATCTTCTACAATAAAATTGCATTTACACTAAATACAGATCTTACATTCCAACATATATATTTCGAGAATATTTCGCGTGCATTGATTTATTGGTTAGTGATCGTCAGTTAAGGTCATGAGTCCTATAAGTGTAGTGCATGTATTAATCGCGTGAGCGCGACGGTGATCGTCTCCCACTGGATGGCGAGATCCGGCGCCTACCTACGTTGGCATGAGGGGATTTTCCTCAACCAAGTATCTCCCACCAGCGCACCACCGCCGCAGTCGGGACAAGTTCTAAGCTCCCGACAAGTGTGATAGTGTAGTGTACGAGAGTGTGAGTGTGAGAGTGAGTGTGAGTGTGAGAGTGAGTGTGAGTGTGAGTGTGAGTGTAAGGAGTGACGACAAGAAAAGAAAGAGGAAGGGGAGATAGCGTGTTGTACTTCTGTTAAGGTACTGCTCCGGAATTCGTCTGGTGTTGATAGGAGAAACTACAGAAAACAACCAATCTGAGCGGCCGGCCACTCGAATTCTCCAGATAGGGGCTGAATATGACCTAGTGGACCTAGTTTTGAAAATCCTGCCACCGTCGGGATTCGAAACCTTGGACGTTCCTGTCAGGGGCACAGCAGTGACTTCAGTCGATGCCCTCGCCCAACGTTTTCGGTTTTCGCGTACGTGTTTTACAGGAATATAAGATCCGTATTTAGGGTAAATACATTGTTAAAGTAAAATATTACTTCTTATTTATCTATGCAAAGTGCAAGTATTCTGATTCTACTGGTATCCGATACTGGGACCTACAGTTAAGGTAGATTCTCTAACCGACTGAGATATGGTATCAGATATTGCATTAGTGACAATTCAAGGAGATTATAAGAGTCAGGAATCTTTTATGCGGTATGGCATAAAGGGTACAGACAAAGAAAAACGGTATGACTCGCACATTGTAAGCTAACAATTAACTCAAATTGGGTTTGTATTTAGAAAATTAGTGGCCAAGACGATGAATGTGAGTCTTTTATTTCGTTCAACTTTACCCTTCATAATATACGCATTTAATAAGATTTGTTGTTATAGGCCTCGTTTCTTGCTTCCGCTCTGAAATATTCACATCAAGAAATTAAAATCAAGTAAAATAGAAAAAAATACTTTGGTTTCGCTACCGATGGTATTTAAAAATTAAATAATTATAGTTGTCATTGCCAAAAATATTAGTTATTTCAGTAGCAGTTTTCGATGGCTTAGCCGTCATCATCAGTTTCCTGCTCTATGGAAGCCACAAAACAACTACTCTGATGTAGAATAGCAGCTTTGGCACCTTCCAGACAGGAGGCAACTGATGATGGTGGCTAAGTCATCGAAAGCTTCAATCAAAATAAATAATATTGTCGGGAATGACAACTCCTATAATTATTTCAAAGAATACTTTTGCAAAGACAATTATTATAATTCATAATGTGCTGCGTAAGGTAATATTCGTTTGACTCTGTAAATCGTTGGTCAATCCCTCTCTGGAAGCTTCAACATCCCGGTCTCCAGAGAAGATCGCAAATTCACAGCCCGGCAACTGCCTTTTATCATGTGCGCTACCGGATTCGCCAACGGGGCAAGGCAGCCCCGTGCCCCACAGCGAGCCGCCCCACAGCGCAGAAGCGACCATCGGCGGGTCGGAAACGTTGGCGCCACGCGAAAAACGCAAGGTCGCGCGGGCGGGCGGGCGTCCGGCCGGAAACAGCACGTGGGCGGGCCCGGAGGCCACGGCACCTCGCGCACAAAATGGCGCGCGCCCGCCTCGGCGGCCGCACTCAGCAGCGAGATGGCGGCCAGACACGCGATCGCAGCGCTCCTCGCGGTGGTGGTAGTGGTGGCGGCGGTCGTCTCGGCCGACGGAGACCTGGTGAGTTGTGCACGAGCATATTTTCAGCTCACCCTCGATTTACGGGAATCACGACAATTGGGAGATAAAAGAGTTCATATTACTTCAATAAATTAAATTGAAAACAGCTACAGTCGTGATCACGGAATTTGGAGCAGTGGTGGATCCAGAGGGGGGGAGGGGGAGGGACGTCATGCATCTGTTCCAAAAGCCTGTAGTTTTCTTTTGTAATCTTGATTTATTTGGCAAAATTACTTAAAATATTTTTTCATATTAGAACAACATAATTATTCTAACATATAATAACAAATATATGTAATTTAACAAAATGTGATAACCTCCCCAAAAATAATCGGTTGGATCCACCCCTGTATGGAGGGAAGTGGGCTAGAAGACAGAGACACTCTGAAAATTTTGAATGGGTCACATAACTACCTGTAATCAATAAATATTTCATTTATTTAGAACTCGAATATTTCAGGTAAATAAATATATGTGCATGTTATATTCCAAGTAAATACAAAAGCATTAAGGACAAGAAGGCCTTGAGTTCCAAAAATGAAGTTCCCCCTCAAATATCACGTTTTCGGCTGCGCACGCGTATTAAAACAATTGATAAAGTTACAAACGTGTTGTGGAAAACAGTGCACCAAATCACTCACTAGCAAAACAGTCTACATATCTTACCCAACTGCCAGTCACAAAGATGAAGGAGGATTTATTGATCTTCCAAGAAGGTCGTAATATTTCTTCACACCTTCCTCTGCCTCTCTCAACGGAATAAACTACACATTATGTTAATTAAAAATATTTCTTTGGTTATGTTTTATTTGAACAATTAATTGCAAAAAAATATCTCGCTGCCTATACCTCTCTGTTCGGCGCAAAACTTCATAGTAGCCATTTGTGGCTGTTGCCTGCGAATCGTTATATTTTAAGTCGGGGTTGACGCGTTCTGTACAGCGCAGTTGCAAGCCAGAAATGAAAAGATTTAAGGACTGTGGCTTAGCCAAAGAGAGAGTCATCTGGAACAAAATTGATGGGGACACCCTCTCTCACTTCACATCAATATAAACACACATTTCATAGTTGTATCTGAATGTTTTCTTGAAATTTAAAATGTGTCATTTAAAGTATTTGAATTTTTTTTTGTAGAAAAATTAACGTAATACTTTTTGTACACTTAATGTTAATTATATATTGAATCGCATGCAACTAATAACAGTTTTGACGTTTTTCGTAAATTTTCAATTTCGATATCTTGAGGCTTCAGTTGTTTCCATGACATTAATTACTGACGAAGTTTAGGAGTAATAAAATATGTATCCCAAGTTCATTTCATTTTAAGATGAAACACGCTTAAGGTCGATGATAATTTCAAAATATTAGAGAAAATAGTAATTAATTCTACATATCCAATTTTGATTAAATAGCGCACATTTTCAATAAATACTTCAAATTATACAATATTAAATTAACATTTCAGTTAGAGTCATCCCTAGAAAACTCAACCGGAACGGACCTACTGTTAGCTGCCGTAACTACAATGGTATTAGGAAGCCATTCTCACTAAATAAATAAACTTATTTAAATATGTCGCCTCCTTTGTAATTAGTCGTACAACACATCACCACAAGACGAACGTTTCATTAAGTGTTTTTGTGAGTTTAATCAAAGGAATTGTATTTTAAATTTCATTCAATTATGACAAACCTTAAAACAATGTTATATTACAAAATACATTCTGTATCAATGTAACCAATCACTTAGACGAATTTTAATAGTTTTTAATATTTTTAATAATATGATAATTATTACGAACACTCAAATTATGGCCGGCGATAATGAAACAACTGTGAATATATACTTAAAATTTTAAAGTCCATACGATACTTTCTCTGAAGGACAATGTACATGTCAAATTGCACGGGCAACATCACGGAAGTTGTATCTCTTGAGGATTTAGGTTTCCGTAAAATTACTCGAACTGTTTTCCTTAATAGTTTATGGAAAAATCCTTGATCGACTTTATCTGTCACTCGAAATGTCCGACCGTGATAAGGAAAGGGGAACTCAGAAGAGAGGGTAGCTTAGTACTAGCCACAGATCCCGACTTAATTCTGGCCCCGATCAAAAAACTTACTTCTAATTCAAATCAATCGCTACAAGGACAGTTTCAACAATGGCATAGATCATATTTTCATTGAAACCCTTGATTTTTCGAAAACAATCCTAAAGTTCAATAATTTTTCGGCGTCTTCATTAAACCACAATACTGAAAATATATATGTTTCCTTAATAAAATGTGCTGTTAAAAACAGACGTTGAATTAAGATCGGGTATACTTTTTTGAAAATATGAGCAGTTATTGCGTAATTACGCGTGAAATTTTGTAAATTCTTAAACAATTTTCTCGAAAGGGACTCCCCACGTTTACTTTACTTTGTGTCCTGTTACGTACTAAAACGGAAAAAAATGGGCGATGGTTCTATTTCTGGGTTTTGCTTTTCGCAAATTGCAAAAAGTTTACAGTGCAAAATTACAATTTTCAAGATAGAGATTTTTCTCTTAAATACAATATTTTTACTAATTAACGCCACGAGTGCAAATAAACAGGATCACAGACCACAAACCATCCCCAAAAACATCACAGAAAAACATCATAGGGAAAGGAATTGCTAGAAATAGCAAGAACACTTCAAACGCACTGGCCGCTACAATTCTATGTAAGAATAAGGTATATAAATACTGAGAAGATATTTGTTGTAATTTTATACCTTAAGAGATATTACAAATTAAATAGCGAGCATTCATTTTGGGATCATATGGAACATTCACGAAAAATTGCGCATCGTCATTCAGCCCCGGATTGCTGCAATGTCTTCTGAAATAACTCCTAACCGACGCGACCGGCTTAGGTGGCTCAGAGCATCATTTCGACGTCATTGCAGTGCCTCTGACCGGAAGGCTCTAGGATTCGAGTCCTGACCGTGACAGGATTTTAATACTAGCAGCATAGCCACTGTCTGGATGAGAATTCCAGCTGCCGGCTGCTCTGATCAGTAGTTTTCCTTGAAGTAGGCTTCCGCGGCCAGAGTCATGTGGGTGATCTGGGCTGTCCGGGTGACGCCGCGTCGAAGGCTGAGTTGCCGACGTTTCGACCATCCTGTCGTGGTCTTCCTCAGGGCTCGTATGCCGGCATACCAGCGCCGAGGAAGACCACGACCGGATGGTCGAAACGTCGGCAACTCAGCCTTCGACGCGGCGTCACCCGGACAGCCCAGATCACCCAGTAGTTTTCCTTGGTTTCTCCAATCAATACTAGTCGAGTGCCGGAGCAGTAACCTAACAAACGGGCCACGGACCACGCGATCTCACCTTCCACTTCCTATCCCCTTACTTATGCTTACTCTTACATGCACTACACCACCACACTTGTCGTGAGACCAGGCAGGAGCTTACAGCTTATCCCGATTAGGGCAATGCCCTCCTTGGGAGATACCTGGTTAGTGGAAAAGCCCGCTAGGCGACGTGTAAGTCAGCGACAGATTTCACCCTCCAGCGGGGAAAGATCATCGCCACCTCTCCCGTATAAAAACTGAGCAGTGATCCGCCAGGTATTAATCAATCGATTAAGTAGCGATACTTCTTTTTTGCTTCACGGGTAACATTCACATACAGTCGTGCATGGTCATTCACATGCGTCTTCCATACTCAATGATGTACGTCTCAATATTATTGAAGTTATAATATAAAATAATAACTGAAAGTAACCCTGTTATTCTCGTGTTGGAACAAATGCAACTCTGTTTGCACTACCTCCATGGACCAAACTCTCTCAACTGAGATTACCTCCATGTCCTTGTATTTCCTCTTCTTCGTATTCACTTTGCACATTGAGATATGGCCAACAAGTAGGCTGTGAGCGTAGGGTCTTCCGCTTATTCGACGCATTGGTAAACATGACACCGTCAAATAAAATTTGTTGCACAAAAATTGAATGACAAAAGTTTACTAATTTAGTCTAAAAACATTAATGTTGAAAAAACATTGATGGTTTTTATTGGCTCTTTAACATAAATGTTTTATTAATTAGATCGCTGGTGAGGTAGATACATTCTAATATTTAAATATGGTAAATAAAATATGTCTGGTATGAACAATTTATTTTGCTAATGATCATTTCGTTGATCGTATGATCGTATGATCGATTCGTTTCGAGAGCTTGCAGCTTTCGGACTGAAAACTAACTTTGACGGGCCGAAAACGAACTTTGTTCTTGGCCCGAAAGCTGCAAGCTCTGAGGATGATCGCTAAGCGATCGAAACGATCATTAGCGAAATAAATTGTTGATCCAGACATCTTTTATTTATCATACTTAAATAAATGTTTTAATTTTGAACATCGATGTTTTGTTATCGATATCGCATCACTTATAGAGAGTTTGTGCCACCTCGAACGTTTAAGCACTATCGATCTTCTGCTCATACGCAGTTCAAGTTTCGCACAATTTTCGCGCATCTGCGCATGCGACTACATCGACCTTGCTGACTCTCCGGCTGGCACACACTCCCTAACATCTAGTGATAAGTAAGCGCTGTCTGTGTGCGCAGCCGAGCCGTTGGAAGCTGAAAACATCAATGTTTAAAAAACATCGATGGTTTTTAGTCGATGTATTTTAAACATTGATGTTTTTCATCGATATCGCTTCGCATATAGAGAGTTTGTGCCACCTCGAAGGTTACAGCTCTATCAATATTCTATTCATGCGCAGTTCAAGTTTCGCACCGTTTTCGCGCATCTGCGCATACGCAGATGATCGACATTGCTGTCTCTCCGGCTGGCACATACTCCGTAACGTCTAGTGCTAACTCCCTAGTGAGGTAAATGTCTGTGTGTGCAGCCGAGCCGTTGGAAGCTGCGTCGCTGGGTGCGCGAGTGCCGCAAGGACGCCGCCATCGCCAAGTCCAAGCCCCTCTACGCCTTCAAGAAGTCCATCGCCGGCCTCTACGACCCCAAGACGAGGCACGCTTTCCGCAAGACGAAGGTCTCCTTCGCCAAGTGTAAGTGCCGTCCTCGCTGCAAGGCGGCTCCACACGTGCGGCATTCGGCCAATCCCGAGTAATCGCTTCCCAAATCCCGAATAGCGTGGACGGGTTGCTTGCGATTCGCCAAGCGCCGAACATTCGGTATTCGCTCTACCCACCGCGTGTCGGTCTTTACGACACATCGATCGGGAGCGAACATTCGCCGAATACATCAGATGTTGGCAATTGGGTGAGCAGTAGCTCGCTGCTCGGCGAATGCCGAATATGTGGAGCCGCCTACACGCGATTTCAAGTTTGCCAAATGTCTGTCAATGACGGCTGCACCTTAATGGCTCAATCGCCCTCCCTCAGAAAAACTAAGTCAGAGGAAAGTTGCACAAAACATGTTTAACTTGCAATAAATATACTCGTTTAATTTGCGAATACATATAGCGCCATTTCTATGGGTGGATTTAGTTTTATGTGCCCCATTATGCGAAAGATAAATGTTTTTGGAGTGGCTCTCATCGTGTGCCATCGGGAGTCCATACGTAGCTGGTGCATGCGAGGAAATTGAATCTCGAGGACGAATGGAGGTACTGGGAGTTGGGTGGGCGCACCGTGCTCCTATTAGGGTTTTGTTCGGCAGATTGTATTGTTTTTAACTAGAAATATTTGTTTTGAAAATATCTGCTTTTTTCGCGTGAGCACAATTGTGTCGGCCGATATCAACGTTTAAAGTTGTCTTAGACAAGAATTAAAATCACCATGTGAGTAAATTGTTTGTATACTACATGCTATTGTCAGGAAATATTTCAAGAGGTAAAATGTATGTGATAGTTTGGATACACATGCCACCCCTCCTAATTCGCAACACACTGACCGCCACTGGTATAAGTGCCATCCTCGCTATACGTGATTTCAAGGCCAAGGTCTTCTTCGTCGCATCTGGGTGTACCGCAAGGCTGCTTAAATATGAGAATCTCGGGACTGACTGCCCACGGCTGCAGATGCTCGAAACCCCTCGCCTTTCACTAGTGTAGAGACGAACGCATCCCCTCCCCTCTCGGGGATGGACCCACAGGAGCGACGGGCCATACCCTTGGCACGCAGACACACGCTGGACCCGCGTACGTCAAATGGGACATTCTCTTGAATCCTCGTGGTCTGTTGCAGTAAGTCGCATTCCACTTCCGGTGGCGTAGGCTTCCGCGGCCGGAGTTTGTGTTGTCTAGGTTATCCGGGACGAGCCGCGTCACTGACATGGTGGGTAAGTTTCGGCCAGCGTATTGTGGCCTCCTTGAGAGCGTACTTCAGCTGTACGCTTGTTACGTTACACGTGAGTTAATAACTGCTCACGGCGGCGGCACATTCATAGTTTTTTGTTGGCATGAATTCAACATATGATAAATTACATAATAATGTGCAATGTACATGCAACACATAATTCACTAATAAAATAAACACAACTGATGAGTTGTAATACACGTTTTGTTAATGTTGAAATAATACATAAAATCATCTATTAATTGAGAATGTTCGATTGCGATAACGTATATGAGATATGTAGCTCACTGGTTCGTGAAGAAACAATTGATTACGTTACTTATTAGAATTTACATGCACGTTGTGACATCAATTCAGCTTGAAGTACACAATATAAAAATCACAGTATGGAGAACTTATCAATTCTCCATGTTGCTGGAAGGTGATGTGGTCATGTGTTATACACAATGTATGCATGTATAATCATGACGCCATGAGGCTACTTAAGAATATGTATGTAGTGAACAGCATGGGGATGCCTGCACAGCTCGGCGATATTGATGCTACCGGACTAATTTTTAACGTTCTTAGTTTGATGGGAGACGCAGGCCGGGCATCCGAAAGTCGGGATAGGGAGAAAGCTTGGGACCCGGCCATCTGTTTATCACACTAGCTTTGGCCGATAGCAGTGAGAGGCAAAGCAATTTTATGCCAAGGACAGGGCGGAAGTGGCGACATATTGGTGGTCGGCGAGAGAACTAGTTGAAACTACTAAAGAGGTTTACCCGACCTTGCCCAACGATTCTGCTACGAGAGAGGCAATGAGTTATCAAATAAAATAGCCGAGTATGCGGGCGAGTTCTTAACATAATGATTAAGTAAAACACAAAATTAATATAAATTGGATACGAAAAGGCTGCAATGGTAACTGAATTCGTGTCAGAAACAGGTAGTCTGTGCCTGCTATCAATCCAAAATGAAACATTTTCGCGAGCTCGTAAATGTACAATGCTTTCCAAATGTACCAGCAGAAATTAACAAATGTAAAAAGGACCGTCATAGACTGCATTGTTTCTTTTTTAGGTAAAATGAACGTGGCCTGCCACAATACCGAACATCACATACTAAACATTTTATTTTCGACGAAACTATAAGTCCATTATGCTCACATCTTCAACAATAAATTATTGATGCGCGAGAGATTCGAATGTTTAATTTTTTAAATGCAAAACTTTTAACAAGCTTGATTAAGTAATTCAATACATTGTGCACAACAACTACGAATTTTTAAGGAAAAAAATGTAGTAGTTTTTGACAAAATAATATTCAGTTTTGTTTCAAAATTGACATTATGACGCAAAAGTACGCGAACACAACTAGTATTTTGTATTACTACCTTCCACTAGAACTACATTATCGTAATATCCATTGTATTTTGGAGGAAAATTATTTAATACGATTAGGCACAAATAATTCATAGATGGGTATGGCCGCGATAGACGAGTTTAAAAAATATCGAACTCCAAAAGACATATTTATATGAAATGTTTAGATCAAGATTTTCACAGTAGATGTTACGCGTACAAAGTGAAACTTTACATGCAACTTTGTACCTTGCAAAAGACACCAAAAGATCAATATAAATACATCTGCGTAATAACCCACTACAAAGAAAATATTCATATTTATTTTAACGAAGAATAAACCATGATGATACCCCTATCAGAAACATTAATGAAAACGTAAATAAATATGTCATAATTTAATGAATATATGTCATATCTTATAATTTAATACTGTCACGTGAGTCAGGGAACGTTCAAAGTAATAATATGAAAAACAACGCAATTCAATGGTTAACGATAACTGAATGCATCCATAAACAATTACATATTCATTACATAAACTGAAATATTTTTATCATAATATCGTGACTAAGCATAATATTCAGAACATCTCCCAGCTGCCATCTACGTCGACATGCAATTGTTCCAACTTGGCTTCATATATCAATATACATTGGGATGTCACAAAACGTGAATCCCAGACTACTTCTGTTATTTAATTCCTCTTCTCGTGACGTTCAGGGGCATTCATAAACGAGTTGGTAATTTGTTCCCGGTTCACTTCAGCCACATCTCCTTTGTCAAGGATATTACTACAAAAAGTTGAACTATTTTGTAAAGTCTGTGTTGCTTTATACACGGAGCAGCTGTGTATTCATTTAGAAGATAAAACGAATCGATTACGGACATATTACCACCATTTATTAAAATCAGACAAAATTTTACTGAATTATTCTTTCATTTAATTTATTTCATTATTTCTATATTTAAGAAGAAAAACGTTAGAAAAGTATTTTTTTTCATGGTCTGTACACAAAACTTGGAAGACCTTTAAAACTTTTTCAGAAATAAATAAATCGGATGCTTTTTAACAGAAACATTCGTTATTCTTTTGGTCTAGTACGACATTCATTCGGCCAACAAATTTGTGCTATAGAATACATTCCTGATCCATGTATTGCGCTTAAACTTTGTGAAAATATATTAATAACTATATTTCAATTAATTTATAAGAAATAGTGATCTGAATAAAGGGTCTATATGAACATTTATGCTGAAATCTTGAATATAATGTATCCTAAATGAAATATGTTCCAATCAGTACATTAGCATTCGGCTAAATCTAAAGGACAGAAATTTAGCTTTAATATAGAATATTTACCTAAGAAAACTAGTGGTGCTTGAACAGCGACGTCTTTCTCACCCGTACTTGCATGCAAAATGAGGCGGAAAGTACGTACATTTTCGAAAAAAATTTCATGTCCTCCTTTCAAAATCTATCTTTAAGAAACATATTACATTAAGGAAAATATTTCTATCTTCATAATTGTACTTGTTGAAAGACTCCAAAAATATTTTAAACTTTCGCAATTTTCGAAAATTTTAATGAATATGAGACCTGCACCATTTATTCAAGGGTCCTTTACGCTATTCAAAGACAATATTTGATCATAAACAATGGTGCTTTTTTTTAAATGTTCCAGGGCCTTTATGTAAATTATCCCCTAAAATTAAAATTTCGATTTAAATAAATGCGGGCAACCCTCACTGCTAATGAAAGCTACCTTCCTTCATGCTATCAAACTTCATTAGATGCTCTGTGTTTAATTGTCATTATTTATGTTAATATACTATATAAAATGTATGCCTTTCCGTATGGGAATGTATGTGTGTGTATGAGTGCGAGAGAGAGAGGAGGAAGGGGGACAGACGAGAGGCACACCCCAATGGAATGAACACGAGCCGCCACTGATTGGGAAATATCATTTTTGTAGAAAATCGGCAGCACGTTTTAGCAGCTAGCGTTGTTCATAGACGAACAGACAGATGTTTTTCCATTGTTTCCTTCTCTTCTCTGTAGAGAGAAAGTAAAAATTAAATTTTGTCTAGTTGAAATACGTGCACACGATGAATGCTGAGATGATACAAATTATAAATACTGTTTAGAACGTTTTTAATAAAAAGTGTTTTCCTGGAAACCATACACGAAATCTCTTCAAGGAGAATTTCTAAACATTACATATAATTACTATTAACATTTACGTTCTAATTCTCCGCACTAAAAAACTAATAACCTACGTTTTAGATATATACCATGAAGTTACTTGTAGTGTTGTAATGCTTGTCTTTATCTTCAACCGAATGAAATCGAACTCAACCGGAAGTGTCACGTCTGTAATAAAATTGCAGAATTTTACTTTCTACTTACAGATTGCTATACGAGCTCACTACAACCAAATTCCGCTAAATGGGAACGGATGGTGGTCAACATTGGCCAAGACTAATTAAACAAAGCAGAAATGGAAAATGTTTGGAATTCAACACCAAATAAGACTGAAACGATTGAAATTAAGAATTTTTCATTGTTGTGATTTACACAGATTAAGGTGCATTAAAGCAAATATTTGGTGAATTCAATTTTAAATTAAGTTTTCTTTTTTTTCAGTCGAAATCGCAAAAATCAGAAACCCTTCAGAGGCTGAGAAGGTATGTACACTAAATGAAATACATATACAGCCAATAAACTATATAATGTCTGTTCTTAATTATTTTTGTACTGTTTTTTAGTGTCTGCTGGAATGTCTCGCAGAGAAGCAAGGACTGGTAAGTTAATTATTTGGTTTCTTTGTTGACTAATCACTTTTCTCATAAGCGGAAATAAATTATTTGAATTGCAATAATGTTCGTTCTTCTGTACTAAAATTACCGCGGTCAGAATAACGCCGTCGTTTGTCAAATTGCTTAACTACACTCAGTGAAGTCACAGAGGTTAAGGGATTTGAGATATCGCGTTTCTTGGTTGTGTACCCGTCAGGGAAACCCCGGATCTATTAGCTTCGAGACCCTGGCCGACGGGATAAAAGACAACCACTGACGACGGACTATATTAAAGAAGAATTACTGCAAACGTTTGACGCAAGCAGGCAATAGAATGTTATCAATTGTAACAGAAGTTTAAAAACCAATAAGGGAATAAAAAGATAACAGCTGCGTGATTTTGTACGGCCCTTGCCATTCATTTCTTACTAGGGGTAGACAACCCGATGTTCCGAATTGTCACAAACGAAACATATCCACTGAGATGACTTTGAATCATCAACCGTTGATGCTGCATAGTTTCTGATCTGAAAATCAAAGGGTTCTAGCACCAAAGGCGAATTTTCGGCACTATCCACACGGGTGCGACCAACTGAGTCACTGATTGGAGGAGAATTCTAGTGGCCGGCTGCTGTGGCCGATAGTTTGCGTAGTTTGACCGAACAATTTCAAATGAATGCCGGAATACTACTGTAATAAACGGTCCACGAATCGCGCGCTATCTTCCCGTTCTCACCCTGACCCATTACCATATTTGTACTGTACTACTTCATATATCGAAAATTCATTACAGCTGGAAGGCGAGGATATCACGCTGTGGGAGATACATGGAGAGAAATATACTCCAAAATGACGAATAGCCGATATGAAGATTCGGTGTTCTTCAGATCAGTAAATAAACGCCGATCGCCGATATGGAGTAACCTACGTTAAATTTCGTGTTTTGTCTCATATCGTCGCATCAATCATTGCCTTTATCCCTTCGATCACGGGGTTAGCCGCCGTTAGTAACCGGTATTCCCCAGACGGTTACCCATCCAGAAATGTCATGTCCCAGGTTCGTTAACTTCCGTGAGTTCGCGGAGCTTAGTTAAGCATACTGGCTAACGACGCCGGTACTCAAGGAATACTCAAACTAGTTGACGAGCCCGCAAACATGACATACGGAACTTGGTAAAAGCTTTCCTTCAGGCGGCTCCACACATTCGTCCTTCGCCAGGTTGCGAACGACATTTGACCAGCGACGTGCTCGGCAAATGTTCGCTCCCTTCCATGCGTCCTGAAGACCGACACGCGGTGGGTAGGGCGAATACCGAATGTTCGGCGCTCGGCGAATCGCAATCAACCCGTCTACACTACTCGGGATTCGTCGAATGCCGCCGAATGTGTGGAGCGTCCATTACACCATTGTCTGTCGTGTGCCAGATCAACGGCAGCCAGCTGCAGCCGACCAAGATCATGAACGTGATGACGGCGTTCGGCAAGCGCATCAACGAGATGCACGGCCACGCCCGCGTCAACATCACCAAGCTGAAGCGCAACACGGCCAAGTGCATTGTCGGCACTCACGGTGAGTAAGTGCTGGATGCCCTCCTGCACACTGTTGCCAGACTCTTTTTAACAGTAGATCTACCGTACTTCTACAGTAACATGTAGAAGGATAAGGACTTCCTGATACGCTTAAATACTAGGATTTTAACGCTGTAGCTGACGAATGATTTAAGATTTGTGTAATAATTTTTATTGAATAATGTAAAACTAACACCAATATTACAATTAACCATGATATCGGTCCAAACAATGCCGTAAAACATTAACGGTGACATAGAGAGGTCCTTTTCTAGCATAGGCTGTAGTGCAAAAAGTTTTTCATTTAGATTATCGATATTAAATGGATATCGCGTGAAGTAACACTGCATCGTGTGTGAAACGTGAAACATAAGCACATTGGCAGTTCCGCATCCGACACGGTGTTAATCTCGTAAGATACGATGTTAATCTGCAACACACGCTACTTATCGTGTGATACAGCCTGGCTCGTGTGACACGCGCATATTGTAAATAGTTGAAGGAAAAAACTCTCAGCGAGCATTGATGACATTTCATACAGGAAAATAACAAAAAAATATGAAATACAGAATTTAAATTTTAATGCTGATTGCAATTTTAAGGGGAAAAAACTGATGACAAATAAATTATTGATTCAGCGATGTCTTTTATTTCATTCATAAAGTTTCTCTAATGAGTCTTCTTTGGCGCATAATTAAAACCCTACTAGGTTTTGTTGCGTTTTTCTAAAAAAAATCTCAAACGAAATGGCCGAATCAAGTCTAGATTTTTCAGAGGAGATACCTTGAACTTATGAAAGAGTTTAAAGGCAAATTATTGACAAAGTTGCGAAGGTATCACTGATTCGCGTGTTTCACATTGCTTCATGAAATCTTGTGACCGATTTTGTACCTAATACCCCCAATCCACTCGAATTTTTCAAGCGATCGGTCAAAAAGAGTTGTGCAAATACTAGTAATGCGATATCTATAACACAACATCGATGTTCGTCATACAGTGACCAAAAACCACCGATAGTGGTTTAGTCATTCATTAGTCCATCATTATATTAGACGCAACAATTTTGTTTACAGTAAGCACAATTATCTATTTGTGATTAAGATTTAACTGAAAACAGATGTCAATTATTACGACTAATGAAAATGGTACAAAGAGCGACAATTTCGCTGGAACTCAAAAAATAAATAATTATTTTGCCACTCTCAGTTTAACTTTCACAAATTGGTAATAATGGAAATTTTGCTTACTCAAAATATTGAAAACATCGATAATAAAACATATTTAATCTACGTTCAAATAATTGATGTTTCTATATTAACATCGTTTTCAAAACATCGAAATCATGAGAAACATCACTTGCGCCCGCGAAGTCCGTAAGGAGAAGGCTCAACTCCAGTGTTGGAAACATACGCGGTTGTACATGAAAAAATTGCCAGTGCATCAGACATACGTAGCTCAGCAACATCTCGTGGTAAATGAAGTAACTTATCTCGGCCTTTTTGGCCAATAACGACGTGCGTAGATGAACTTTATCATAGCCATCTACACTTTAAAGTGTTTGATTGCGAATTCTTTACTTGGTATTGTTTTCTGTGGTTTTATTGCGTCATTTTATAAGCCTATAGCAATGTTTCAAAACTACAAACAAGTCGAGAAATTGTTATTCAATTAACAATTCTTGCTGACAGGCAGATAACTCTTAATAGGCAAGAATCTTAGTCATATAGTTAATGGAATTATTGTACTCTTATGTAAACACGACTACGAAATACAGATATTTTACGTTTAGTAAAGAAATGTAGATACATTTGGGGCAATAACTGTCAGATGATTTCTTCAACAAACTGTAAAGAGTCACGTATCAAGTAATATCCCGTCTCTCCTGAGCAATGTGTACAACCCTTTTAAATCTCGCGCCAGTTGGGTTGGAAGCATTGTGCCATGAAACTAGAAAGCTAGTTACCTAACCCACGACATTGATATGTCTGATTGTGACCATGCTTACACGCAACATTCATGATGTGATACAAGGGCATTCCGAATTTTATGAGACTTTACCTGCAGACAGACCATAATTAAGGTCGGATACAGATAAATTTTTAAGTGCTTTTCATAATTAAACACGAATTACGAACGAATATTTTAAACATCGAAATGTCTCCGTTTGTCGATATGGGTATATGGGCAAGAACAATGGAATCAACCCCGAGAGCTTTTTAACAAATTTCACTCTTGTCGCTTACACGCCCCTTGGCGTTTGATGGCACGTAGACTGCAGAAAAGTTTTGGGAATTGCCTGGCAGCGCCGCGAATTGAATTTTGAATGCGCCCAACACATTTCACTTAGCTTCTGTGCACCAAGCCACTCGGGGCTTCTCTGATTTTTATGACAATGCGAACTCGATGCGTTTGATGGGGGAGAAAGTTGGATTCCGATAAATCTGTCAATGGGTAAATTTATTCGTCGGGGCCGCTCAGGAGGTAATGCGATTTATGGTTACTTTTCGAACTAACAGGAAGCAGTTGACAATCGATGTCAAAGAACTTTGTACGAAAAAATGAGTATTTGGTCAACTGGAAAGGAATTCGTGTGGCTTTTTTGAGCTTCTAAGCGGTAAATTTCAAATGTATGATCTTTTCTTCTTAAATGCCTTCAAAAAGCAGCGAAACTGCGCTGTTCGAAGTGTGGCGCCAAATTTAAATTAATTTGGTGGTCAATGTGCCAACCTCGCGAATACGATATGAAGGTTAGGGTGTACTCATATAGGATGTAAAGAAATACGAGGATATATACACACATGTAAACAAGAACGTATTTCAGTAGTTCATTGAAAAAAATGTCTCGTATTATTTATATCTGTTCTTAAACATTTCATTATGAGCTATTCCACACATGTAAAGACATTTTTTCAGTGAATTAAAATTGTTGTGCTTGTGCAGAACCGCTATATTACATATCATTCTTTGCCTTTATTCTAGGATCCGCTAAGACCTGTGAACTTGGATTCCACCTTTACCACTGTCTGAGATCAGCTATTATGGAAGTGAGTAAAATTGTCTTCATCGGACGTTTCAAAAGCACATTTTTAACTAAACACTTGAAGTATTGTTCCACTTTGCCGTTCAAGACTTTTACCATATCCTTTTCTTTCCTTTTCGCCAATATTATTTCATTGGTTTATTTTCTTTACTATGGAAATCCTCTGAGAATATCCTAGCTTTTATCATAAGAATATTTTTAAAAAAACTTCACTTTACTTCGTTTCGAATGTAAGCACAGTCATACTGTTTTAATTTTGGAATGACGTATGTTTTTTTAAATTGTTGCAGCTTTCGCCATAACTGTCTTTAAAACTCACCATGGAGTAATTTTAGCAAGAGGTTGTTTCCCTAAGGTGCACGTTTCGTGATTCAAGAACCATGCTGATAGTTCTAAAATTTGGCTTGTGTTCGGAAGTATTTTTGTCTATTTCAAAGGAATCCAGTACATTCATTCAAACATCCACGAAATTATTTTAATATTTCTAGCTAAAGCAACTTTGGTTTTAACTAGGTTCTTCTGGTTAAAGGCGTTCAAATCGCGACCAATTTATGGTAGTCATAATTTTCGTCAGCTTGACTTCCTCTCTCGTTATTTCTGTTTTCATTCCATCGCCTACTCCATTCCCAGATGCAATACTCACATTTCTCATTATAAATGTTAAGTCTCAATGTTTTCAAAACATAATTATTTCCCCATCATAATTCAATCACGAAACCCAGGAAACAAATTCGGTTTAGTTTTTTTTATTATTATTATAGAGAGTTTTCACCGAATGACCAAAAGAGCTAGGATTGGGTTTTGGCAAACCAACAAACTCCAGTAATTTCCACTTTATAGAAGTTTTCAGTCATAAATACGCCATCGAGAGTTTAAACTGTTTTGTAAAAATTATGGCTTATATGATCCCAAAACATTACAATTGAAAAGCTACGGGCATTGTGTCTTCCAACAATAAATTTAAGCTATTTTTAAATTGTAGAAATATATGTATACCTATTGCGTTCAAAACTTGAAAACAGACTCTTTGGGGCATTGCTGTCACTCAGCCGCAAATATTACATTATCGTATTTTCCTATTACAACATAAGATTTCTGTAGAGCAGTCCAAACATGTATTTGTCTTGTGAACGAATGTTGAGTGATGTTATTTGACTCTTTCTAAATCAATTGCAAATATCTTTTGCACATAAATCTCCTCTTCAGAAAAAGCAATGAAATGGGAATATCCGTGTTAATGTGTGGTGCATCCAAGAAGGGACATTTTGCTGTAGCAACAAAAATATTAATTATCTTAATTCATATTAAAATTAACTATTGATCAACAAATAAAAATACGTTTTCAATTCAACGTAAAAGAAACATTCTTAATGAAAAAAAAGAGCATGCATTCGAAAGTACTTCACATTCAACACACAGCCTAACGAAATTCTGTTTGTGCCGTTGTTGTAAAATATCCCACAATCTCAACAAAAATAACGTAATTATCTTTACCTCCGAAATACAGATTCGGAACATTCGAGCAATATAGTTCTCTGCACTTTTTAAAATCAATACGCCAATGAACAGGATAGATATTTTGACGTTTGTAATCCGAGGCCATAGCCAATATTTATAACTATTTAAGTTTGTAATAAATGTTAACAGCCTTGATTTGGTGAATACATGTAATTTTAGTAATGCATTTCATGAGAAAAATTATATAATCTTGAAATATTGTTATTTTTAAAATTAGAATACACGCATGACATCTTCAGATAAAACACATTTGTTAGAATTGCTCTTAACGGATACGGAATCTTAACTAACAAACTCCAGCCGTTTAGAATCACTTTTCATTCCGGTTTGGTTGCGTTAAATCCATACAATATATCATTTCAGGGAGGTTTTGTGCGGCGTAGCGAACAGCAGTCAACCGCAACCTCATCATCTGCGCAAATTTACAAGTTATCTGAAAGTCGAACTGCGCATGCCCAGAAGACTGATATTGAAATCAATTGATTTAACGCTTTACCATGTAAAAACTTTCTAGTTTCATATTTCTGACGTAATTTTCGTAATTGATGGAAATTATATTTTCGTAATATTACGAACAAAAATATAACTAAGGGTCGGATTTTGATGACCTAAAAAGTGCCGTAAATTATCAATAAAAAGGTCTTAAAATGCTTTAAAAATGCCCTAAAAACAATGTAAAAGGGCGTAAAAATTATCAAAACCACTTCAGATGAACAACTCAAGCTGTTAAAAATATTGTTGATATTCGTATAATCGAGGCCTCTTTCTTTCGTTCAATTAAAGTCAGCTTGCAAACTTTGGATTTGCACTGTTCTTTAAACGAAAATATCTCCATTTATTTACTGTGAAATCGGTCGAACTAACAATGGCGCCTATAAACGTCACAGGAACCTTAGATTACATAGTACTCACAACGGCTGACATTACAACATACAAAATCGAATAGGCTACTCAGGAATGCTTTGGTGAGCATTTGTTCCACTTCGTAAACATTACTTTAAGCCTCATCAAAATATATTAAATCTGCGAAAAATGCAGTAAATATTTTGTTAAAAAGTAGAAAATGACTTAGTCGAAATTGATGAAAAATGCAAAAAAAATGACATAATATGGGTCATTTCGTTTCGTCATATCACAAAATGAATTTCTATACTACAAGGATTTGTTTTAAAGTAAAATAAAAAATATATATATTTCATTAAAATCTGCTTCCACATTACAACTATCTCGTGTTTTGTTTCCGCAGAGCATCTACTACGAGGAGATGACCACGGCACAGCCCTTCACGTCGACGGCGGCCTACATGCCCATGCCCACGTCCACAGCCCCGTCGGTGCAAGAGGCCCGCCCCGACCCGGCGCCCCCCGCGCCGCTGCCCAACCGCTTCATGGCGCCCCCGCCCGCCCATTGCCCGTATGGCCGCGCCGCCGCCCCGCCGCCCAGCGGCCTGGCCCCCTCGGTGAGTGCATCTCTAAACATCGACCGCCTGGTAACTTGCGCTGCTCGTAACGGGGTTGTTACCCAGCCTTCCCTCGGCGGTGGTATCCCTCGCTCCAATGTTTTAAAACGGGAGAGATGCTCAGCCATACTGGATTGGCACTGCAAGTTTCTTAACTGGGAGGTCCCTAGGTTCGAGTTTCCGACGGTGGGAGAGTTTTCGAACAACTAGCTTGTCAGCTAGGTCGAACTCTGTCGCTGTCTGGAGGAGAATTCTAGCGGCCGGCTGCTCTGATCGGCAGTGGTTTCTCGAATCAAAACCAGGTGAATGCCGGAGTAACACCCTAACAAACGGGCCACGGACCGCGCGCACTCTCCCCTTCTCCTTCCTATCCTCACCCTTTACACACACACGCGCGCACGCACAAACTACACTACCACACATGCTGGGAGATCCGTCAGGAGCTATAAGAGCTTGTTCGACTGAGATGGTGCCCCGCAGTGGGGATATACTTGGTTGGGAAAAACCCCGCTAGCCGACGTCAGGTCGGCGCTAGATCTCGCCATAAGCGGGGAAAACATCACCACCACCTCCTGAGTAAAAACATGCATTACACTTACGGGACTAATGACCCTGGTAGTTGAGTTGCCCGGAATCAATTGACAATCAATCAATCCAATGTTTTAACGGTCAATATATTGCGATTTTTTTTTAATTCCTCCCGTCAAGCGCCCTCCAGGCCCTTCTTCACGGTGGCATTATTCCACTGTTTTTCGCGTCTTTCTCCGTCGGGCCGCTAGATATCGCATGATCGCGATCGTATAGCAATGCTGAATACGGTCGCGATAATGCGGCATCTAGCGGCATACCGAGAAAGACGCGAAATATAATGACATAATGCCACGGTGAAGTAGGGCGTTGAGGGGCAGGGTTAGAAAAATCGCAGTAATGAGCCACGGTAGAAACCCGTCTTTTTCCGCTACCTTCGTTTCGAAAAGGGTTAGTTTTACTGTCTAGCACAAGGCTGACCAACTTGAAGGCTCAACGGCCAAAACTAAAACCTTCAATATATTTTCATTAGTCGGGAGATTCAAACCTCACTTCCCCTTATTGTTGATCTCAGCACTTCGCCCACCTGTTGTGAAATGGAGGGGGCGCTGAAACCATGCGTATTATCAGGCCTAACCATGGGTAATGCAGTGGAATGCATTGGGATATTTTTGAATTTATGAATTTATTAGAAAAAAAATATTCATTCTAAACATAACCTATTTTTAAATAAGGGGTTTGCTGAATCTATGAGGGCACAATTTTCTCTCCCGATGTAGATGCCCCTGAACTAGGACTTTTATACCTCGATTCAATAATTTAACGGGTCGACAACATTACCCACCGTTATTTTTTGACTCTATCTTTGTTCATATAAGGAGTTAAGATCATCATTTTGGACTTTCATTATTAGCTCCTTTTCTAGCACTAAACGATTAGTTTGTCTCGTATCGGATCTTTACAAAGTTATTCGAAATTGTCACCATGCGTAATCACTTCGTAGAAACTTCAGTTTTCTCTTTCAGTCAAGTCAGTCTCTAATCACCTAGAATCCGTATTTAGTATCCGCCAATGAAGATAACAGTTGTACGATCCGAGCAACATAGTTAATGTTGAATTAGCTACTCTAAAAATGACGTGACCTCTATGACACCGTGGAAACGACCGCAAAGGTAGAAAAGATTCACATTGTCCCCTTGCCATATCTAAAAAATTCGAAAATATTAACACAAATCTGCAGAAAAAGATTGTAATACAATGCTAAGTAATGTATCAGTCGATTTTGAATATATACATATTTTTCTTGGTTCTATTGCAATTTATTCTGGGGTCCGCCCTCGACCCTTCCATTTTTGTTATCCGGGTACGGAAATAGCTCTGGTATGTGAAGTTTGCAAAATATCGGGTTCTTCAAATAGAAAAAGGAATGTTCAGAAAGATAAAAATTTCCAAAGTTCACACTCATATGACTGTCTGACATGTCATTTTGGGCGCGTTAACTACAAATGTCATTAGTCCTGAAGGGGAGTGCATCTCTTTCCTTGGAAGGTGGCGGTCATCGCACCACACTGGTTGGTGAGATCCGGCAGTTTCAGGTACAACTGAAACTAATTATGAAAAAAGTTCAAATGATGAAGTCAAAACGATTTTTTTTTAAATTACAAAAAATAAGAACGAAATCTATACAGTTCTCAATTTAATGAAAGCTAACCTGCTATTATATCTAGAAAGCTAAAAGTAATTTTAACAAAATATCAACAAATTATACACAAACATATCTGAATTTAAAGTACGTGGTGGAGCGCATTTCAGCCACATTATCGTTGACCGTTTAAATTGAGCCGTTGCAAAATTGAAAGAGTAATGAAACTGAGAAGATAGTTGTAGGTGTTCGATCCTAATGTTAAAAAGGGGGTTATTGCTGAAAAATATTTAGCCTGATGTCATAAATCTTCGTATCCTGATTGAATTCTATTACCGTATTCTTAATACTCATGCATTCAAACGAAACATCGCCTAATGTAAAATGCTTTGGAAGAATTTATTGTGGTTGATCAAAATTCAAAAAAGGGACTGAATAACATTTAACCCTTAATTACTCTGGTGAAATACACCTACGCCTAAGCTCTGGTGGGTCCTGGAGTGCCACAAAAAGTTTCACTCTTTATTTCAATGAAAAAAACATCAAATTTTGTTATTTTAATAACTTTTTCTTGTTATTATAAACACGGTAAAGTAGATTATCAACAATTTTTTACACGTTGAATTTCTATGATTTGGGAATATATGTCTTTGTCGTTCTGTCCGCATTTCTCGCACACATGTAGCATCTTGCGTTTTAAGTTGTTTCTGACTCAGACGATGTTGAAAGAAGGGCAGTTTGCTTTGTTATTATACTGTAACACACAAATCATATCAGTAAAAATACACATCAATCAAGGAAATGAACAATGACTCACGTTAACAATACGGTGGTATATTCTGACCTTTTCCCCCCTAATTCCAAAAATAAACCTCAAATCACTTCCCACAACCAGCGAAAACAAATAACATAATGCCACTGAAATGGCTACAAGAGTTATATCTAGTATTTGGTTTTCGAACTATAATGACTTATACTTCGGCCGGGGGACTCCAGGACCCCCATCAGAGTAGTAAAACTTAATCTTAACAACATTTATAGCCACATTTTGTTCCTATTGCTGCAGAAAAGTAAGTAGTTCATTTTCATTTTCGGCATGGGCATGTGCATTATTTTTTACTTTCTGCAGAACACCACCACAATTGGTGGTGTCCTGCAGAAAGAGACAAGTCTGTCAAGTTGGCCATGATTCCACTGAGAGCGCGCAGTATGGTTTTCTTTTCTTGTTTGTTTATTGCCGATTGCTGCTCTGTGAAAATATTTCCCCGTCCGCAGTATGTAATTTCCAGCATATAGACGTTATTTCCAACATTCCTTTCTGAGACTTTAGAACGGCGAAGCAGTTTTTTTAACACAGTTCCAACACTCACAGTTTTACTTTAATATCCGCGCTCTATATAATCAGTACTCCAAAACAGAAGGAAAGTTTGGTCTATGTGAAAGATCATGCATCGATTACTCCCAAAAAAACTTCAACTAGATAACAGCTACCAGATAAAAATCGACTATTGGAATAAGCAAACATTAGCCTATTATGATTGTCTATATAAACGCATATTAGAATAAATTGTTCCAGGTAACTAAAATAGATTCAATCGATAATTTGAGAAAAGAGAATGAATATCATGTAGTTTTGAAACACTTATGTACTTTCCCTTCGTAGTTCAGAAAAAGCACCCAATTAATATGACGATAATGAGGTTAATAAAAAATTGAAATATTTTTTGACTCAATAATTCTCATTTTCAGGGAACGCAATATCTTTTTAATATTTCCATTTTCAGCATGTTCTTGTGTTATATAAATTGTATGGATGTACGTGTTACAATGATACGATGGCATAAACTTCACTCT